CTGCCCCTGCTACAGTATACGACGTTCACATGTACACTAATGACTGACATGAGCCGCAAAAAGAGCAAGACCACTTCAATCCTGTTTCGCACTTGACTTTTAGAAGGAATGATGTGACGTACGCCACAAAGTCAGCCTCACAACATATGTGTGACATAAACAAGATTAATAATATGGTCTGTGAGGCACATTAAATTCTGCCCTAGCAACAAGTGACACACGACATACGCCAGAATAGGAATCCGACTTGATTAAAAGGAAAAGATAAAAAGTGATCCCTCTATCTGTGCACAAGTGGTTTATACCAGTGGATGACAAAATAATTGGTTGCAGAGGCCTCTCGGAGTCAAATAAAATGCACCTCATCAAGTAAATAAACAAAAAACAAAAGACAGCAGATACTGTATCAAATAAACCGAGGATGAATCAGTGCTGACAAAATCCCTGGCCATCAAATGCCAACTCTGGCGCCCGATATCAGGCCGCGCACGTCTGTGAACTTTGGGCGACGTCTTTTAGAGGAAACAAGACATCCTGACTTGTTATGCTGACAGACAATGTTTTTCAAATCACTGCGGGGCTCCTCTGTCATTAACAGGTCCAATTACGGCGAATGAGGTCGCCGCAGGAGGCCCCCTAATAGGTCCGGGCCGGGGTTGGGGGGCCCCCGCCGGCACCCGAGGGAGCGGCAGACTGGAAAGGCCACCGGACGGGAGGCCGACTGTGGCGCTAACAAGCCGCCACACCTCCGCCTGACTTTCTCAGGTCATTAAGAACGCTTCACAGGCAGTTAAGGGGAGAAGTGGGTTGGGTGGGGAGCTTTTTTTTTTTTCTTTTTCAAAGCGGAGTCAATAACGCGAGGCTCACGGCGTGACTAAGTGCCACCCATCAGTAAAAGATGGGTTCTGTTTGAGGGGGTCGGTGTAATCATCCATCATCCAGCCATTATCCGAGCCGCTTATCCTCATGGGGGAGTGCTGGAACCTATCCCAGTGGACTTCGGGCAATAGGCGGGGTACACCCTGAACTGGTTGCCAGCCAATCGCGGGGCACACGTCGACCAACAACCATTCACACTCACAGTTGCTGATTACTGAAGTGCCTAAATTAGGTTCAAGGAAGACTGTAAACAGTCTTCACTGTTCTTGAAAACACGCTTTCACTCTCATCCTTCGATGATGATGACTAAAATTGTGTATGTTGAGTTTAGTGCGGATGAAATCGCCTTCTCTGTTTTTTTAATGGTCTTCAGTTTTTATAAAACCACATTACGAATTAAGGATTAAAGACCACATAGTAGTGGTGTAACATTCAAGACCGATCTTGGTTCTTGAGTTGGGTCTCCACCGTCTTGGTTTTGTCTCAGTCCCAGTATGGCCAGGATTGGGATTTACCATCGAGGCCGGTCAAAACCAGCACTGATCTGCTATTCACCGGCAAATTTTAATTATGTCTTTCCGAGATGGATATTTGTGGAAAGAGGTTTTAGTTCCACCTGCAATTGGCTTTATTGAACAGACTGGCTGGAGTGGATGCCAAATCAATTAAATCGTCTTCATTTTATTTTCCTTCTCACTTTGAAAGAGTTGCAGGCATCGTGTTTTGAGCTGTAAAATGTGTAGCAACGAACATTTAAAGAGAAGAATGCTCTTGAACTGTTCATCCTTCTCATCATTTTTAAATTTGGTTTTTATGGTCTTGGTCATGTCACGGTCTCTGCTTCTCTCGATCTTGGTCTTGTCTTGGTCTCTGTGAGTTATGATCTCGAGCAAGTCTCGGCTAATGCGGTCTTGAGCACCACACGACTCTTAAGTGTCTTTGATGTTCATAAGAACATGTGTGTCATTTTTGTCCAACGCTAAATTGTCTTTGCCGGTTATAAAAATGTATTTTAACTTCATTTAGGGCCAACGCAGTCTTTGAAGTTTACCGCCGCCAAAAAAATAAATTAAAAAAAAAAAAAAGGCATTTAACAATTTTGGTCATACTGTGTGTAGTGTGTTCCAATAATCTCAACACAGAACACCACACTGCGGCAATACTTCTCTGAAAGAAGCCTGGTCACTGAAGACTGTTGTGACCACAAAGAAGTCAGCAGCAAATGTATGCGAAATAAGTTTGGAGCAGAGTACAAACTGCCATGTTTACAAGCACTCAATTACAGCGCTTAGTCAACCTCTCCAAGGTCACCAGAACAAAGGCGCTCTCATGTGGTATAATCCCTTTAATTCAGCTATTAAATACTTCATGAATGTTGTCAAACTACGTGGATGAGTGATGGGGCATGGCTTCGAGAATTTCACAAGGGTTGCAACAAAACAACTTGAGGCATGTTTTTTCGAATCAATCTTTAAATTCTGCATACCTATATGTCATCTACTATACCTTCTGTGTCACACTGGACTGTGTGTGCACATACCGTATTTTCCGCACGATAAGGCGCTTTGGAATATAAGGTGCACCTTCAATGAATGGCCTATTTTAAAACTGTTTATAGGGTACACCGCATTACAAGACGCAAAGAATAGAAGACAAAGGAGTGGCCGCGGTTGTGTTATGCATCCACTAGATGGAGCTACGCTAAAGGGAAAACAATACAATACAATACAGCTTTATTTATTTAGCCCTTTCACCACCAGAATATTGATCCACATATAAGGCACACTGGATTATAAAGTGCACTGTTGGCCCCCGCCGGCACCCGAGGGAGCGGCAGACTGGAAAGGCCACCGGACGGGAGGCCGACTGTGGCGCTAACAAGCCGCCACACCTCCGCCTGACTTTCTCAGGTCATTAAGAACGCTTCACAGGCAGTTAAGGGGAGAAGTGGGTTGGGTGGGGAGCTTTTTTTTTTTTCTTTTTCAAAGCGGAGTCAATAACGCGAGGCTCACGGCGTGACTAAGTGCCACCCATCAGTAAAAGATGGGTTCTGTTTGAGGGGGTCGGTGTAATCATCCATCATCCAGCCATTATCCGAGCCGCTTATCCTCATGGGGGAGTGCTGGAACCTATCCCAGTGGACTTCGGGCAATAGGCGGGGTACACCCTGAACTGGTTGCCAGCCAATCGCGGGGCACACGTCGACCAACAACCATTCACACTCACAGTTGCTGATTACTGAAGTGCCTAAATTAGGTTCAAGGAAGACTGTAAACAGTCTTCACTGTTCTTGAAAACACGCTTTCACTCTCATCCTTCGATGATGATGACTAAAATTGTGTATGTTGAGTTTAGTGCGGATGAAATCGCCTTCTCTGTTTTTTTAATGGTCTTCAGTTTTTATAAAACCACATTACGAATTAAGGATTAAAGACCACATAGTAGTGGTGTAACATTCAAGACCGATCTTGGTTCTTGAGTTGGGTCTCCACCGTCTTGGTTTTGTCTCAGTCCCAGTATGGCCAGGATTGGGATTTACCATCGAGGCCGGTCAAAACCAGCACTGATCTGCTATTCACCGGCAAATTTTAATTATGTCTTTCCGAGATGGATATTTGTGGAAAGAGGTTTTAGTTCCACCTGCAATTGGCTTTATTGAACAGACTGGCTGGAGTGGATGCCAAATCAATTAAATCGTCTTCATTTTATTTTCCTTCTCACTTTGAAAGAGTTGCAGGCATCGTGTTTTGAGCTGTAAAATGTGTAGCAACGAACATTTAAAGAGAAGAATGCTCTTGAACTGTTCATCCTTCTCATCATTTTTAAATTTGGTTTTTATGGTCTTGGTCATGTCACGGTCTCTGCTTCTCTCGATCTTGGTCTTGTCTTGGTCTCTGTGAGTTATGATCTCGAGCAAGTCTCGGCTAATGCGGTCTTGAGCACCACACGACTCTTAAGTGTCTTTGATGTTCATAAGAACATGTGTGTCATTTTTGTCCAACGCTAAATTGTCTTTGCCGGTTATAAAAATGTATTTTAACTTCATTTAGGGCCAACGCAGTCTTTGAAGTTTACCGCCGCCAAAAAAATAAATTAAAAAAAAAAAAAAGTTCATTTCATTGCAGACTTAAAAAAACCAGATGAGGACGGGATACATGGATGATTTCCGACGCCTTCAAGGTCTGTTAAATAAAAGGCAACAGCGCGTACGCCAGGTGAAAGGCCTGATTTATTCCGCTTGTAAATGGCCTCACTGTTACTGGATGCAGAGGGCCAGTCAAAAGTTATACAGTAGAAGCCACATAATGTGGCAGAGGCCGCAGCTTTACAAGTGTGGAAAACCTCCTGGCATGCATACGCGCGCGCACACACACACACACACACACACACACACACACACACACACACACACACACACACACACACACACACACACACACACACACACACACACTTACTGTAGTGTATGTGTCCATATAAAAGCCTGCCATGAATGCCATTACAGGCATAACTTGTACATGCCTTGTTTTACTGCCTGTAGACTGGTGGTCCACACACGTGCGCGTGCGCCCACTCACACGTATGGCTTCCCATATTATCAAAGTGGCCGAGGTGCAAGCAGGCGTTCAAATTTGCGGTCTGGCTGCCTTTGGCTTGAGGTTTTTCGCCTCAGCGTTCGCATCATCGCTGGCTCAGGGCAAGATGTCAGCACGCTCAGCGTTTTTGCACGCAGCCAGCTGCCACTGAAACATGTCACATGGGCCATAGTGAAAAGGAAAAACTGTAGCCCAAAAAAAAAAAAAAAAAAAGGGGGTCTTCAGTTTGCTGGGAAAACAGCACACGCAAAACAAACCTTGCACACTCACACTACTGCAAATAAAGACGTTTTAAGAACAAATGCACGTTTGGTCATTTCAGGGTTAGTTCCAAGACACCGAGTCACTTATTTGGAAGCTTTGTTGTAAGTAAGGAGGTGGGCATCAGAATTTTAAAACACCAGTGTAGAAATATACACTCACTCTTCCTAAAGGGAACTCAGAAGCCCCACCGAGAATTCTTTTGAAAAAGCTAGTTTTTCCTAGCGACAATAAACCCAAAAAAAAAAAAAAAAAAAAAAAAAAAGGTGGTCTGAGAAATTCTTATGAAAAGGACAACGTTAAAGCTCAACTCCATGCTGGTTATCATTTATTGAACCCAAGTCCTGTGATGTATGCCAAGCGTTTGTTGTATTTTAACTTAATGGATTGTTAAAAAAATATAATAATAATTACCACAAGAGGGCAGTATTTTTTAGAAGTAACAAATGGGACAGGCATATGTGAGGACGACTCATTTGACAGGTGGAGGTCCTTCTGGAGTCCAAAAATGACGGCTGTGTGATTTCCTGTAAGTTCAACATTTTTTGTCGCTATGCTCATCGTGTTTGACTTCTGAACGTCATCTATATTAGTATCATATATGTACATATTTACATACTTACATTATTCTTTTGCCCATTTTAATTAAATATGGTTAGCACTTTATGGTTATGCTAATATGCTAATGCTTAGCCAGGATCGAAATTGATTTTTAGTGTTTATTTTCCACATCCTGCTCTTCCTAAAAAAGCATTGTAGATGTGAAATTTTACTTAAACGATAAACTGATGTGTTTATTGAATGTTTTTTGTGAGGGAAAGTGTCATTTGTGCCTCTTTTTTTTTCTTTTTTTAAACTTTCCGTCACTTAACATAATGTCTTTCGTAGTCCTCTTCGTCAAGTGTGTCACTTTAGCATTAAAAGAGCAGGAATCGAGTAACAAATGAGGCTGTTTGTAAAATGATCCCCAACTCCCTCTTGGGTAGAATCCCCTAATCCTGGCAAGGATCACTTGAATGACACTAAAAGCCCAGACAAGCATGTTGGGGCCCACTGGTGACCCCCCCAGTGGTCAGTCTTTTTCCCAACATTTGTGTTGCCGCTAATGATTTACTGTGGAGGTGCGCAGTGGCGTCACGTCTGAAAGGCAATTAAAGGTTTATGAGTGAGAGTGCGGGGAAAGGGGGGGGGGGTGTGAGGGTATAGCAAATAAGCGTGTACATAAAGCATCTTTGTTTTAAATGGTATCCTGCTAACTATATTTTAAAGATAGTCACAGTCCCCAGGTTTGTAAGTGGCTTGGCAGTGTTATTTATTCGGGAAGCACCACAAACGTTGTCTTTGTCATATTCAAGAAAATGATGGAGAATAAAGTTTTTCAACACAAAGGTTATCATTTGCATAAAACGTTCCACATCATGACATTACAAGCCCAGTTCTATTTTAGGAAAAAATGTAGCAGTCATACGGGGCTGCATAATTTTTACTCCTAAAATTTGAGACAGCACAACTACATTTTTCATCGACTCGCGCATGTGCGAGCAATGCATTTGCTGATTGTACTTTGATTTTGATATTCAAGTCCGTTTGTGTTAAATGTGCGCCACTACATTGTTGACTTGCAACCCTAAAATTTCAGGTAAGGGTCCAGGGTTCTCCTAGCAAAAAATAAATAAATAAATAATAATCTGAAGCCTTGTAATATTGAAAGGAAATATTATCATAAGAGTTCCTTCAACAGAAAGAGTAGTAATCTAACGAGATTTAAGGGAAAAAAATAAAATATAAATTGTATTTTTTTGCGGAGTCAATCTTGTGAAAGTAGTTGAATATGTTGGGGGAGGGAAAATGCAATTTCACGACACTGAAGTTCAATTCTGTTTTAGATAAAAAGCCAAATTGTCATTTTAAGAAGAGTCGTTCCATTTTTCAAAGGGGTGGGTGGATCGTAATCTTAATAGTTATAAAAAAAAGGATGGGGGGGGGGCTATATTGCATTAAGTTGGAACTTCTCGATAGCCATGCGCAAAGTAAATACACACCCCAAAAAAATGTTAATCTAAAAACTGTTTAATTGATGCAAAATAGGTTGGACAAGTGTGCACGATCCAATACAAGATTAATACCAAACGCGGGGATGCGGAGCACCACCACGTATCCCACCGAACATCATTTTCCCCTCGTACCTGTTGGCGTTTGCTAATATCAGGTCCACCCGCATCATCCTATGACACCCCGCGTCACAAATGCTGCCTTTTCGAGTCATACTATCGCGATATGCATACCTATCGATGTCTTAAGAAATAGCGTCCCCCAATTTGAACACGTGCAGTCAAAGTGAAGGTGCAAACTTACCTGCGCAAAGATGTTGAACTTCTTGACGCTGCCTGCGTGCGCGGCAGCTGAGCGGTTGACGGCGGTCGCGGGCGCTCCATCTTCGGCAGCCGCGGCACCCGCGAGAACCGGCCTGATGTCATTGGGCTTGGGGCGACCTTCCGGCGCTTGGCATCTCGCGGCCGTGGCGAAGAGGAGCAGCAGGAGCCAGCGTTTATTCCAAGGGCGCACCAGCAGCGTCATCCTTGCACGCGCATAAGCAGAAGAAAATCAAGCGGGTGGATGTGCGCGGCCGAGCTTGGAGCCGATGTTTCGCTTTTTCTTCCACGAGGTCGCCCTGCGAAATTCAAGACCACCCCTTGAGTGGCTTTTCTGCAAAAAGGAAGTCGAGTCAAAATGAGGAAAAATCTATATGGGGTTCAAGCGAGGTTGGTCGGGTGGTCCTCCCACCCTCTGTGTTGTGGACTGAGTGAGTGTAAAGGCATGCTTGGTGATCGTCTCTTTATAGCATTAATGAGCGATCTTCCTCCGCCCCCCATACGCACGCGCGCGCATGCACACATGCGGACACACAATGGCTGAAAGTGATCCGCGTGTGCGCGTGTGTGTGCGCTTTGCTGTCTGGAGCCACGCCGGCACCAGCAGCCCCGCTGGGAACAAACTATTAAAAAAAAAAAAAATTAATACACTGTGTATTTTAACTGAGTCCTTGACCCTCTAATATTTAGTGCTGCGCAGGAAATGGAAAATCAGGGTTAAGCTCCTGCTGTAAAAGGGGTTTTGTGTGAGTAAGGATAATTTTGTTCCTCTTAATGAATTGTATTTTAAGTGGCGTTTTGGAGGATGTCTGTCGGCAAAGCTACTAGAAATGCATAAAACAGGTGCTACGGTTAATATTTGAACCATCTTTGGCTTTGTTCAATTCAAGAGTTTTTAAATTTGGGTTTGAGGGGAGAAATTGCACAGAGCAGACGCACGGAGTAGCGTAGATGAGGTTTTCTCAGGAACGAGGCAGCTGCTGAGACACTTGAGTGAAAATATTGAGCTACTTTGTGATCGTAAACTGACAGTAGCTTTCAGTAACGGTGTTGCAAGAGTAAAATGTAATTGTTCAACATTTTTTAAAAAGTCAAGAAATTAGGGGGGAAATGTAACATTGAAATACGTGACTAGCACTAGTTTATCTATATAATACAAGAATAAAATATTTCTGAAAAAGATTGAATACTCAGATAAATTAAAATAAGTAGAATGGCAGGCAATGTTATCGGATTCATTTGACAAAAAGTTGCGACATCAGAAAGAACAAAGTCAGATTGTCTTGTCCAATGAATCACTTTTTTTTCCAAAATGAAAAGTCACACTATTATAGGTTTCTTTTTCATGAAAGTTCATCTTTCTTTGACAGTTACTTGGAGCAGAAAGCGCCAAAGTAATCTTGAACCACATGCTGCTTCACCATGTCTAGACAAAGATATCTGATCGCCTATGGCAGCCTGGTAAATTTCCACTCCAGCTTTCTGATTTTTTTGACTCACCCCGACCACCTTGTATTGAATCGCATTCGATTGTGCAGGTGCAACTCACGTTAAAGGCGTATATTAAGAGATCAAATGCTATTGGCTGCTCTTCTTTTTTTCCCTCTCTGGAAAGGAAGCAAGTGTCTGGTGTGGGCGACAAAGGTGACTTAAAAAAAAAAAAAAATAGAGTATCACCTCGGCGCATCTACAGTTACATCAAACACGTCCAATACTTCCTCCCACTCCCCGGTGGAGGCGCTCCTCTATTGTATTCCACAATGGACGTTGACACTTTGAATTGGAGCCTTTGACGGATGGCTTTTGAGGTCAGAAGGCTTTCCCGGTGTTCTGGTTTCATCCCAGCCCAGCCAGCCTTCAATAGATGCCTCCAAATTGTGCGAAGACTTTACAAAAATAAATAAATAAGAGACATTATACATAAATGGTTTGTGGGAAGGTTTGGTGACTGGCTGGTTGAGTTTTTTTTTTCTTTTTTCTTTTTTTAATCCCTTGTGAAAAACTCACAGCGGTCACTGAAATCACTTGAAACTGATAAAAATAGTAAATAAAATTTTACTAATCAGTAAGTAGTTGTGGTTAAAATTGTTAGGAAAAAAAAAAAGAATGCCCATGAATTGTAATTTGTATATTGGCCTTCCCAGCTGGAGCTAGCATAGCATTAACACTAGCAACATAGCCTGTTGGGTCTTTCTGTCTAAGCTTGAATATGCGGTCATCCATAGAGTGTTATTTTATTTTTTTTCAATTGACACTTGAGCCGTTTTTGAAGCTAAATAACACTTTATCAACAGCGCAGCGTGTGAAACATATCTGAATATTTTCTTTAGCTGACATAAACTCAAAAGCGTGCCTGGAATTCCAGCTTGAAAATGTGAATCTCTCTCTCTCTCTCTCTCTCTCTCTCTCTCTCTCTCTCTCACTTTCCTGCATTATTTTTCACGTGGCCAAAATGTAACATGATGCTCCCAGACGTTATAAAGTCCCAGAATGCTTCACTTCAAGCTTGAAACTGTTTCTCAGGTGTTCTGTAATATACGGTTGCTCTGTGTCTTTATTTATGATACGGGGTGTCCTGTGTTGAATTATTTAATTATTAGTTTTGTTCCATTCGAGGAACACAAGTAACACATTACTGGCATCACCAGTGACTAGTGTATAGGGTGATTTCCGGTTACCTTATCTGGCTACGTTCGGAGACAAAACAATCAAAGCAGCTTCAATTCTGATGCCGTGTGAGAGTCCAAATTCGAAACAGCCCCTGTTCCCCAGCGTGCACGTGTACCTAATATCGTGGTTGGTGAATTATGCATAGAAAAAGCTCCGCTGCAGTTGCGCATTTTGAAGTTCAGCTCTAGTCCAGATGCATGTAGCCCTATCTTCATTGCAAGCAGCTGACATGAAGTGAAAGTGTCCCCCTCGTAGCCCCCTTGTAGAAGCCTACAAAGACCATGGATCGGCTTCAAAGCCACTCTGACACCGAAAACAACATACAGATGAAACCCTGCCGGTCAAACGCGCCGATGTTACGGCGGTGATAAGCACATGAGAGTTGATGGACGAGCACAGCAGATGAGATGCTTAGAGGACACTCGGTTCCCTTTGGACCACGAAACTGCTCCCCAGATGAGCTTCTTGTGGTCAGTAATGCCTCGCAGACGCAGCCGGCCTCAGCGCCGTGCCGCATTTGTTTGCACGTTTGATCGGCAAAGAGCATAACGGAGACTCGCGTATGACTTGATGTGGGGAAATATGATTAGTTTGTTGCAATGCGGCGTCAGATATGAATATTGCCGCTGCCTGATGTGTCATTTAGAAGCGCTCTCTCAGACTGCACGTCTGTGTGGGTGGCCAATGGAAACAGTTGATGTCAGAATTTGCAGCCAATTTTATTTATTTATTTTTTTGTGATTCAGCGACAGACAACCTGTTGCCGTCACATTAGAGCGCAGTTCCGGAAGCGTGAAATTGCCCAACTGTTTTAACTGGGCTATTTTGTTCATTAAATTGTTAGCGTCAAAAATGAAAGTTAATGGGGATATCCGTCGGTTTTATTTTTCTCTCCATTTTGCCAATATGAAACTACTTTGCGGTACATTTGAAAGACAAAGTCAAAACTGCATGCCCCACATTGTCAGTGCCGCGCTTGGTTTTCAGGGTCCGAGACGACCCAAAATGACAGCGTATTTGTCCATTTTCAGTTGACATGTGGAAAAAGTCCCAAAAGTTCCCCTTTAATGTCGACCCAAAAATGGTTCGGACCATTTGTGGTGAACTGATTTTTTTTTTTTTTTTCAGAAAGCTTTCCAAAACTTTCTTCACGAAGAGACCACCCCGACTAGTCTACATTCGATTCCCCCAAATTGGGAACTCCCGATCATCAGGTTCCCTCCTACAGCAGACCAAGCCTTGGTGGGGTTTGGTGAGAAGCCTCCACAATGACTCGTGAGTCACACTGATTCTGCACACGGGCGTCAACCAGGCTCCCACCTTCTCCTTGGCCCGCAGATGTGATGACACACCACGGACGCAGGTGGCTCACAAATGAGGGGAAACCCGCTCTTGATGCCAGACAGCGCGGCGTTTCCAACGTCACAAAAGTTTTTTTTTGGGGGGTGTGGGGGGCTGGTTTGCTTTCGAAATGCAGACGACTGCCCTTATTTATATTACCGCAGTATCTCGCTGTGACATTTAAGATGGATTATCTGGAAAAGCCCAGCATTAGGATTTGTTTCCGAACAGGATATTGCTTTGTGTATTTCACCAGCTAATTTATTTCCATCATTTTGAGGAAGATGAGTATGTATCAGGACATGCTTCTTTGAAACTCTTTCCAAGAAGATTACAAGAAGAAAAAAAAAACAGCTTGTGCGTATGTTTATGATTAAGAGCAAGCTGACGTGGGGCCCAGCCAGCAAAATTAAGAAAAACAGCTGCTTGACTGTGCTGAGACACAAGCATCTTGACATTGGGGCAATTATGCTAATTCTAAAGCTGTACATTTATTTTGATAATAAATCTTTGGCTGTGCTCGAGTAGCTTTGCATGAGTCACGGCTAAAAATCGATGTAAAAAGTTATTGTAGTGGATGTTTTTTCCACTTTGACGAATTAACTTTGACATGGACCTTTTCTCATCAAAATGCCGCGGGAATTTTTTTTAAGTGCTTTAATTAGAAGGAAAAAAATATTACATTGAAAAGAAAACTTCAGAAGGCCTCTTCACCCATAACTGTATCGATTAAAAAAAACTCCTGTAACCTGTATTGAAAAAGCAGTTTTCTACTATATATGCATAAGTCTTTATGTCCGAGTTGTACATCAGTCACTATAATGCTCATTTATTCAAAATCCATGTTCTTCAACAAACCCCAAATCGAATGAAGTTTGGCGACTGTTTAAAACCCTAAATCAAAACAGAACACTTTGCAAATTCTTTTCAGGCTATACCCACTTGAATATACTACAAGGACAAGACATTTAATGTTCAAACTAGCGTGACTTGCAACACATTCGAAATGAGCCGGGGCAGCAGGCCATGTTTACTGATGTGTTACATCTTATTTCCTTTTAATGATACTCAAGAGTTGTTTGGGAACTGAGTGTACCAACTAATGAGGCTCTGTGAATTGAAATCTTTCCTATTCATGCTGGATGACCAACTTATTTTGTTTAACAGTCCGGGTTCTCCATTGACCTATTTTGCGCTTGATAACGTGCCAGCCATTTTCAGTGAGCGACAGGTCTGGACTGCTGGCAATCTCATCACATTCAAAGATAACAATTGTAACCACGTATGGTAAAATGGTCCATCCGTTCTTAGCGACGACTTATTCAAAGCTAAAAGAAATCACCATGACTCACAAAACGATTTACACACACGCACATTACAAGAAAACAGCTTTTGAATAGCTGGCCACTGTTGTGGCCACGATATGAAACTTTTTTTTTTTACTGTGTTTTTGTAATTGTAGTGTAAAGTCACCCTAAATTTATGACTATCTTAATAATGACTCGAATGCATTCCATGTGGGCACAATGCCCTCCCAGATCCAGCAGATAATGCCAGATGTATTTTATATTCAATACAGAGTGGTGACATCTCTTTGCTTGTCATTCAAACAGCCGAGTGAGCATGGCTGATTTATGCCAATTTTTGCCGAATGGAGCGTAGATGATTCTGCTACCTGAATTATGCTGATCTTGACACTTTCTGCGGTTCCGACCGGCACGAGCCACCACGACACCGTGTACGCAGAGTCTGGCAGAGAGATTTACAACATACATGACCAACTTTGACTCTAAATAGAGGCAATCCGTGACAAACGATTGCATTTCAAATACTGCACTGAATCAATATGGTCAAAAAGAATATTTGATAATAGCACCTGCGGGACTTTAATGACACATTTAGTGCGCAATGGCACAACGGCGCGCATAAACGTAGGCGGCATTGGTAATGCTGCTGAGGATGGTTGATTAGTTTTGACAGTAATAGTGTTTTAATTGAAGCCAGATGCGGCCACACGTATGTGCTTTGTGCATGCCAGTCACACTTTTGCTCGTACCGTAGTCATTAAAGTAAGGCAACATGTGTTATGATTGTTGCTGAAATGGGCAAAACGCTGCACCGGTATACTCGGTAGACAAGAATATAATTGTACATAGGCGAGACGGTGCATTTAAAGGGCCCAAAAATGAGCCCAAATTGTCGTTGATTCAAAGTGGAATTCAATCTGCTCTTTCAATACTCAGATTCAAGTTGCACAATTAAGTCAGAAGTTGCTAACGTGACGATTGTAACCTTGAAAGGGCGTATGAAAAGTATAAACCTGTGGTTTCTACATTACATTGACATGTAGTGTACAATTTCATATGATGAAGCCATATACATGGTAAAAATTAGCATACAAAAGACAACTGGCAAGTGTTAGCTGTTTCCTTCTAGCCGGACCAACGGATATCGAATATATGCCGCTTTGTTTCATACTATGTTGTATGTCAACTCATTTTAAAGCATTGTCTATATTCGTCTTCAAAAATCGGCACCAACAACAATTATATTAATGCAGTAATGTGGGGATAAAATCGAACCCTAACTGCTAACCAGAGTCCATATCTAATCAATAGCTCGGAAAAAGAATTTACATTTTGCACCTTACTGTCTCTCAACACAATCTTCTACACTTACCTTGAACTTGCCACAAACATGCCAAAAAAAAAAAACGCCTAACTCGTTTGGTGCCCGACCAAACTTCCGCAGCAGAAAGCAGATGGTTTTCTGTGTCGGTGGAAGTTCCGCACTAATTTCTAACGGCAGCAATGGTTGATTTACGATTGACAGCCATCAGGAGGGGATGACTAGGATGGTTGCGCCATGTTAGCTGCTTTGGTAAAAAGAACGACGTTGATGTTACAATTAGAATATTCCTGTATCTTGATGAAATCATCTAGCTCACTTGCATCCTGACCCTAATCCGCCCCATCCCGAACCTCAACGCTAGCAGCAACTCCAACTGAACGTTAACCGTAACCTTTGCTCGCGTGTGCCGTTTCCTTCGGGTCAGACCTTCAGCTCGGAAAAATATCTCCCTTTCTGTCATTTTGTGGAGATGTCTTCTTAGAGTGAGTCATTTGAGTCATTCAATGATTATAATTGTGAATCATTCCAAAGTCAAATTGATCGTACTGCCTCCAAATTGACTTTTGGATCAGGTTGATGGATCAAACACACGCCGGAGGGATGGTCCAGCATTTCATGAATGTGGGTTTGACGGTGCCCTTTAGAGAGTTCTTTAAAGTGGTTTCAATCTGACTAAAAGATCTGCCCATCTTAAATTCTTCTCTGTTGCACAAGCCCAGTGACATCATGCGTGATCACTCGCTATCACCTCTCCTGAATGCGTGGTTGTGGATTGAATGACCGTGCAACACAATGCCTCCATTGTCTCCTTGCCGCACTTGTGATGTTGTCCATCTCTTTGTACATTTTCTTCTATCACATGCAATTTCCTCCCAGATCTTTTAATCCTGCCACATTTGTGACCACTCATCTCATCCCGACGTTATGACGAGGAAAATCCCAAACATTTCCTGCCTGCTTTTGATTTGAAGCGATGTCTTGCAGAACTTAATTCAGCTGTCCTCCGCACCCTTGGCTCTTGATAAAAGTAGCCAAAAGCTATGAAGAAGAGAAGTTAACAATATCTGTTGTGGTTGTTCTACTTCTCTGGACATTAAGCCAAAAAAAAAAAAAAAAAAACACCCCTCGACACCCCCACTCCTAACCACACCCCGGCTGATTGGCTCTTGCACAAATGATCATCAAATAGTGTAGTGTTCGTTGAGGAATGAGCCCTGGAAAGTCCATCCATCCATTTTCTGATCCGCTTTAACCTCACAAGGGTCACGGGGCGTGCTGGAGCCTATCCCAGCTATCTTCGGGCAGTAGGCCAAGGACAACCCTGAACTGGTTGCCAGCCAATCGCAGGGCACACAGAGACGAACAACCATCCGCGCTTACACTCACTCCTAGGGACAATTTGAAGTATTCAATCAGCCTGTCATGCATGTGGGTGGAAACCGGAGTACCCGGAGAAAACCCACGCAGGCACGGGGAGAACATGCAAACTCCACACTGGAAGGCTGGAGGCGGGATCGAACCCACGACCTCTGCACTGTGAGGTCGACGTGCAAACCGCTGGCCCTACCGGGCTGCCAAGGGAAAATGTGCCATTTGAATTTCAAATATATCCTATGTGACCGTTCTTTTTTTTTGGACGCATCTTGTACATTCTCTCTTCTCTGTGAGAACAATTGGACCAGCCAGAGTTTGGTTGGCTGGCTGTCTGCTTTTTCTTGACGTCAGTCAACTTGAACTATGTTACGCTGTTGCCACCGTCAGGCTAATGTGTGCAAACCAGAGATGGTGGCACAAAATGTGCCGCATGTGCAGTTTATAAACCAGTGTGCTTGATAGTCATAACTTTATGGTGCTTCACTTCTCTTCCTCACTTGTGTCTTGGTTTCTTCTTGTTTCTGGACACACACAAGAGCAAGATCAGGTCGTGTTGGTGGGATGACTTAATGTAGCCAAATACATGATTGTTAAATCTCAAGGAGGGAAGAAATGGCAGCATTGTAGGTGTGGGTCGATGCTTCCTTCGCCCCGAGAGCGTCCCTCTTCAACTTCTTCACTTTTACCTCCTCCTCTCAAGTCTTCTGTCCTCCCTTTTCAAAATTATGGATGTGTTAACCGTAGATCGCTGACTGACTCTTGACCCGAGGGCCCCCCCGCGTTGGTTATATTAGCCTCAAACATTCCCTAACTCATGCAGGATTTGGATCTTTTTGTCTGTTTTAAAAAGCCCTCCTGCCGTTTTAACAACCAGCCTCGCCAAACTCAAGGCACTTCTTGGATGAGATTTTGTAGCCATTTGCAAACAA